CAAACCATTCTGTATAATTTTCAGTGTTTAAGAACGGCAAGACCAACGATACGAAACCAAGAGTTTTAGCAAATTTCGAAATCGCTTCAATATACTTATCAGCATTCTAAAAGATCTTGCGCATAGCAGAGACTACCACAGCAGCTCCAGCCATAGCACCGCGGTATTCCCCATGCCAGAAGCGAGACGAAGACACATGCCACCAGTTTATCGAATCGGAAAGAGAGATTTATTATTGTAGAAATTTTTCTTTCTGCTGAAAAAATTCACCTATAAATAGCAAGATTGGTTTATCTTTTGGTCCAGCGTCACAATAACTGTTTTGGCTTTTTAACAGGCCACGTAGCCAAGCATCGAATTTCGGCAAACCATGGAGTTCTAGTAAATTTATTAAATATATTCGTTTGTAAATTTATATTGCTTGTTGTCGTTGTAATGTCAGAGAGACAAGGCGCTACCTTCAGCGGCTTTGCTCGGGATATTCCATCGAATCTACGAGCATTCCACAAAAATTATATCAGAAAAAATTTATTTGAATAGAATTTTATTTGGACGTTGAAGGTGTGTATATTAACCAGTAATGTAAAATTAAGCAAGCATAGTTCGGCTGAAATGAGAACATTTTTGGGATAAATTTAGGGAAGAGAGCTAATTGAATGCTAAAGGTAAGCAATAATAGAAAACTACCACGAGTTGGGCGAATTTGCTTCTTTTTTAATAAAGCAACTCGACGCAAATGAAGGCCATCTTTTGCTTTAAAGCAAAATATTTTAAGAAAAAAATTTTATTTTCTGAGGTATGCCAAATGGATGGCACAAATATACAAATTAAAAAAAGAAAATTGCAACTGATTGTTCGGGCAAAGCAACGCATGCGTTAAAGACAAATTCGCGATCACTTTTGCTTGAGCCTTTTGCAAGCTTGATTTTTAACGAATGAATCAAATAAATCGAGTAAAGATCATACATACATATATAATTATCTCCCTGTGTAAGTTCCCTTCTTTACAATATAACGTCGATTTTCGCGTATTCTTTAACCCTAATATATTTATGCAATTTAGTTAAATGAATTTTTTCATTTTCTTTGAGTTCTTAATTTGGTTTTGCATGGTTTTTGGAATTGGATCTTTGTTCGATAATTGATAGTTGAGACAGTTTAAAACAAGTCTGCTTTGACCGTAGATGCCATTGCATTCGGTTTGACCGCATTCGTCAATATCTCGATGAATTCGGAGAGTATGATAAACGTTTCCACATTTGTTTCATATTCTTTTTTATAAAAGTATTTCGTGTAGATTCTCTGAGAATCTTATTGAAAATCTTGTTGATAATTGTTAGGATTCTTATCCTTTTCTGTAGTTTTTATGTGTAAAGCTATCTTTATTGGGTCGCACGTAAATCTCAATAACAATACTTTCTTTTGTAATAAACATAAGGTTTTTGCACTCTGTTTTCTAGAAATACAATTTCAATGGTCAACATAAGTGCGTTAATTGTGTATTCAATTTAGTTATTATTATAGTATATATGTTCATTATTAAGATCCGACCACAGCAGCGGATAGATCGTCATTCAAGTTAATCTCGTCGCCGGGTGAATATGAACCGAGAGCAGATCTCTCTACTATGCCTGGTATGGCTCGATCAATTGTGTCATCGTCCTCATCTTCGTGACTGTCGGATTCATCGCTATCGTCATTCGCTAAAATATGAAAAATTCTTTGTATTTCCACAAATAAATTATTCTTATTCAAAAACTCACCGTCTTCGTCATCAGTTTCTGTGCCAATCATGGTTAATACCTTTCCTAGCGGATGTATATCTGAAGCCGTATTTTTCACATTCTCTAGCTAAAATGAACGTTAAAAAACTATTTTGGATAAATATAGGTATATATATATGTTTATATATTTGGGAATTTTAGGAATGAACGGATTAACGCGCTAATGTATTCGTCTTAAACGGAAAGTCCTACTACCCATGTATGATGTTCTCGTTCATATTTAAGAATTTCGGCTTCTTCATTAATTGGAGCGCCGTCAAACCATATGCAATTAGCTATTGGTGGCTTTAATGACGGAAAAAATGGTATTATCGACATTTGGGTTAAACTATCCGTCGACAAATTATCAAAGCGATTCTGATTGATTTTTGTTTTATTTCTTAAATAATGTTTGTTTTTCTTTTAACAAATAGTGTTGCTGTTTTAGGAGAAAAATGTAGTAATAATCAATAATAGTAGGAATTTCTCTCGCGTCACAGTTGCATTTTTCAGCATCGATCGTTAACCATAACGTGGCTTAAGCTAGTTGCAAATAAATTATATTTTCCACCCAACTAACATCGGACAACTCTACTAATTTTAGCATTAACAGCAGATCGGCAGTATACCGATTAGAAATTTAGCAATTTTTTTGTTAAAGTCAAATGAAAAAATAATAACAATAGCTTTTCGAAGCTGATAATTTATATAAAAAAGAGCGAAAGAATGAAATAAATACGTATATAACTTCGATCTCCTAAAACTTCTTCATACTGATTTAGATATAATTCATGGTAGGATTTTTAAGATATCAGATCAATTGTCTATGTACTTCATGTGAACCGCTGAAGAATCTTATTGTTTAATTTAAATTGAAGTATGTAAGTTTAAATCTAATTAAGTATTCTTTCGTGGAAAAATCGTATTGCTGCTCGTAACCAATTTTCGTAAAGCAAAGCGGACAATTCACTGCAGCGTATCAGTTGTGCAAAGCTAGAGTTGTTAGATGAAAACAATCAATTTATGCTTTCGCTATTCGGTAAGTACGAAATTTTACAACTGGGGCTTTAATCTCTTGTTTTGCATGCAGTGAAACATTTGTTGCTTTTCACTTATCGAAGTATTTGAGTTGGTGTGATGTTAAACAAAGTGGAAAAAAATCTAAAAACATGATTGAAATTACTTGTAACGACCGTTTGGGTAAAAAGGTAACATTCCATCCATTAACGCTGTATTTGATTTTTGCATTTTTCCTCTCCAAACAAACGTCACGACAAACTTGGATATTGTTATTAATTACAATTTTATTTTAGGTTCGCGTAAAATGCAATCCTGATGATACTATTGGTGATCTGAAGAAATTGATTGCTGCACAGACTGGGACTAGATATGATAAAATTGTTCTCAAAAAATGGTACACTATCTATAAGGATCCAATTAAGTTATCGGACTGTAAGAAAATAATGTCTTGTTTTTTTATACATTGCATGTTCATAGGCTTACATTTTTTGCAGATGAGATTCACGATGGAATGAATTTAGAGCTGTACTACCAATAAATATTAGTTTTATATTGGAGAAAACACTTGTACTTTTTGGATTTTGTACGTAGCTATACATTAATATCGTTATTTTAATAAAAGTTTGTTTTGATTTTCAGTTTTTAAATGAATGGAATTCAATGGCAGTAATTTTGTCGGTTTTGTTTATATTAGTATGTGAAAAGAATGCGGGGAATAAATATAATATTGTTCATTTTGCTAAAGTTTTATCAGAAAACTTTTAAAAAATTGTAAGTGCTCTCATGTTTACTTCTATATGCCCTTCTCCCCCCTTTATATACGCACTGAACGCTTACAAGAAGATAAATTAATTTGCTACTAGTTTAATGTGGGTTAAAATAATTTTGAAACGCAAGCAACTAATATGTGTGAGGCTTTATGAAGCAGTAAGAAGACTACATTAGCAACTAAAATAGAGAAAATCGTCATGTTTCTTGCCCAAGTGATGTAATAAATTTGTCATATATGTAGCGGAGATCCATCATGTATTTATTATGGGTGTGATTAGCACCCTCTGACGAAAACGATGTCATAACTTTGCGTATACGATATTGGTCTCTAAAACGCCCTGGCCAATCTTTTCGCGGTAAGTAAAAGAAAAATGCTAATTCGGCTCGTTGTCTCATCCATGATTACGAAAAAACAATCTACGTATTGATGAAATCGAACCAAAAGTAGAATCGTTGGATATATAAAGAGGTTATGTGAAGTTTCAAATAGCTATCTAAAGACAACAACTAATTGAAAATCTGCAATTTCGATTCAAAAATGTTGTTCTCTTGATTCTGTCAGTTTTTGGGTAAATATAAATGCACGAATACATACGTGTCTACAAATACACTGTAATGATTTTCACTGTGGCTCTTTCTTATAAATCATTGAAATTTTAAAATCTTTTCATTAAAAAAATAAATACCTCAGAGTTTAACGTAACATTTACTTATATATATTTTGAAAAAGCTATTTGCATTTTCGATCATTCTGGGTTATGGCTAACATCGTAGCCATAACGAACAACAAAATTTCAATATTTATTATTCCCGTCCTTAGTAGGATGGATGACTCCCGTTATTTGAGGTAAGAAAATAAAATAAATAATGAAAGTAAAAAATAAAGCGTTTGCAAATCTCCCAAATCCATCGAAAAGAGAATTGCAACCAATTCTCAATTATTTCAATTTAAAAAAAATAAACCCACAAACCATTCTGTATAATTTTCAGTGTTTAAGAACGGCAAGACCAACGATACGAAACCAAGAGTTTTAGCAAATTTCGAAATCGCTTCAATATACTTATCAGCATTCTAAAAGATCTTGCGCATAGCAGAGACTACCACAGCAGCTCCAGCCATAGCACCGCGGTATTCCCCATGCCAGAAGCGAGACGAAGACACATGCCACCAGTTTATCGAATCGGAAAGAGAGATTTATTATTGTAGAAATTTTTCTTTCTGCTGAAAAAATTCACCTATAAATAGCAAGATTGGTTTATCTTTTGGTCCAGCGTCACAATAACTGTTTTGGCTTTTTAACAGGCCACGTAGCCAAGCATCGAATTTCGGCAAACCATGGAGTTCTAGTAAATTTATTAAATATATTCGTTTGTAAATTTATATTGCTTGTTGTCGTTGTAATGTCAGAGAGACAAGGCGCTACCTTCAGCGGCTTTGCTCGGGATATTCCATCGAATCTACGAGCATTCCACAAAAATTATATCAGAAAAAATTTATTTGAATAGAATTTTATTTGGACGTTGAAGGTGTGTATA